CGGGCACGGATGGAGTCCGTCGCGACTCCTGCGCTTAGCCGCCGGGAGGGTCTGGCGTGTTCATCACATGGACGTCAAGTCGGCGTTCTTAACGGCGACTTGAAGGAGGAGGTCTCGTGCACCGGTACCGGCCGGGATTTGCGATCCTCGGCAAGGAGGGCAAGGTGCTCCGCCTGCGCAAGGCCCTCTATGGCTTGCGGCGGGCACCGATGGCGTGGAATGCCAAGTTGGATTCCACGCTAAAAGGAATGGGCTTCGAGCAAAGCCCGCACGAGGTGGTCATCTACCGACGGGGCAGTGGAGGAAATGCTCTGCTGGTGGGTATCTACGTCGACTACTTGGTGATCATCGGCACCAAGGATGCGGAGGTGGCGGCATTCAAGGAAGAGATGAAGGCCACCTTCCAGATGAGTGACCTAGGGCCTCTCTCCTTCTATCTGGGAATCGAGGTGCACCAGAATGACTCCGGGATCACGCTTCGACAGACCGCCTACGCCAAGCGCGTCGTTGAGCTAGCTGGGCTCACCGACTGCAACCCAGCTCTCACTCCGATGGCGGAGAGGCTGAAGCTGAGCCACGACAGCACGACGGAGGAGGTGGACGCTACACAGTACCGGCGTCTTGTGGGGAGCCTTCCCGGCCATACTTGGCATTCTCCGTCGGCTACGTTAGTCGGTTCATGCAGCGACCGACAACGGAGCACCAGCAGGCTGTGAAGAGGATCATCCGCTACGTTGAGGGGACTCTCGACCACGGGCTCTACTACCCTAGGTGCCCTAGGGCGGCACACTTCGTCGGGTACAGCGACAGCGACCACGTCGGCGACATCGACACCAACAAGAGCACGAGCGGGGTCCTCTTCTTCCTCGGCAAGTGCCTCGTTAACTGGCAGTCGGTCAAGCAGCAGGTGGTGGCCCTGTCCAGCTACGAGGCCGAGTACATAGCGGCCTCCACCGCTTCGACTCAGGCGCTATGGCTCGCTCGACTGCTTGGTGATCTCCTCGGTAGAGACACTAGAGCGGTGGAGCTTAGGGTGGACAGCAAGTCTGCTCTGGCCCTGGCAAAGAACCCCGTCTTCCATGAACGCAGCAAGCACATCCGGGTGAGGTACCACTTCATCCGAGGCTGTTTGGAGGAAGGGAGCATCAAGGCGAGCTACATCAACACCAAAGACCAGCTTGCGGACCTGGTCACCAAGCCCTTTGGGAGGATCAAGTTCCTTGAGCTCTGCTCCAGGATCGGGATGGTTCAACTTTTCCACAAGACGACGCACAAGACTTAGGAGGAGAATGATGGGATAAGTCTCATGTGCTGGTCTTTGTGGGGTTATGCTGGCCACATGGTCTTTGTGGCTGCATAGTCTGTTTTTAGGACAGCATAGGACAGCATCTTAGACTAAAGGACAGCATCTAGGACAGCATTTTAGACTAGCATCTTAGCATCTAGAACAACATCTTAGACTAGCATCTTGGCATATGCTTGGCTGGCTAGCAGCCTATAAATATGTATCCCCAACCCCTCGGGTTGGTATGGCTTTAGTGTGAGAAATAAAACAGAAAATTGCCCCAACTCTTAATATCATCCTCTCTCGATGAGAATAAGAATTCTGCTACTACCTAGAGTAAGAATTCAACGACTAACACGAACAGAGACTACTAAAAAAAAAGGTGCCTAATGTTTTACGTTTGCTTGCTAAATTGACGTATTCTTCATCTATCGTTTACCTAAATGTACCTTTTTTTTTTGGGAAGTACCACATTTCTCATTTGAATTACTGTCCTCCTGGCAGTATTCATTTCTAATTACGCTGATTGTACAGCAATCTGATCCCTCATGCTATTCAGTTCAGTCAGTTTGGATAAACATAATCTTCATGCAGTGTGCTACCTTACATCGCCACACAGTTTAGTGCTCAACCATGGAACTTTTTCGCATTTATAATTGCTTTGGCACCTCACAATATGTCGTGGGTCACTGAACTTTTCACTCCTTTACAAGTGCTCTTCCAAGAATGCAAAGACTGCTTCGCCTTTTACTGTTCAATCAGCGAGTGACGGCAAGATGCCAGCCTGAAATCACCTATATACTTCTTCGATCTCAAATTGTAAGACGTTTAACTTTTTTGGCCCCAAGTTTGACCACTCGTCTTATTCAAAAAATTTGTGTAAATATAGTCAAATTTAAGTCATTCTTGAAGAATTTTTATTAATAAACCAAACCACGACGAAATAAGTGATATTTTACATAAATTTTTGAATAAGACGAGTGATCAAACTTGATGTCAAAAAAGTCAAACGTCTTGGATTGAGTACAAGATACCATTTCAAGGCTTCGCTTAGATCTCTGTCCAGTGCCCACGTGCGAAACTTTGGGTTTGGTCCGAAGCTGTCCAACTTCCATCCTTCTGTTTGTGCTTCAGTAACCATGTAGTTTAAACCTTTTATCATCTTTTTGAATGTCAATAGCTAAGATATATAGGTTGCTAGCTATACTCGCTCCTACCCGCGCAATGCGCGGGGAACTCACTAGTATTATAGGGTTTCTTAAACGAGCTGAGTTGCACCGGTGGGCTTGCCTCAATTAAAAGTGGTAGGCCTCTTAAGGGCTATTTTCAAAGTGCCTCGGTAGATGAATGTACGATCTTTTAAGTTTACATTTTTGAGACAATGTCAAGTTTTTTTGTCTCCATAAATAAAATTGCCTATCTCCCGAAATCCTACTGCCACTTGCGGGCGGCGGCGATTTTTCCTATTGCCTCGTGCTCTCACCCGTCGCCACCAATGCGTGTACGTCTAAATTCATCAGTGATGAATCTCCTTTCAAGTAATTCTCATCCCCTAATTCGGGTGATCAATTGAAATATCTACTACTTTGATCCCAATACATGCTCATTTTGCTCCTAATCCAAATTGAGTGCGCCTTTTAATTCCCAACGGAAGACATTCGGCAGCATTAAGTTGTAAAAATATTACTAAACTCGGAATGCTTGAAATTTCTACATTTTGTGTTTTTTTATATTGAAAATGTTATGGGTAGGACGTCTGTTCCTTCGGAGGCTTGCGTTGGTGGGCGTTGGTGGGCCTCGATGTCCGCCCGAACGGCCAAGGTCACACCTATCTTGCGTTCCTAAAAAAATCTCTGCTCTCACTTTCCTCTCGAAACGCAGCCACGTCCGCAACCATTCTCGAACCCACTCTCGAATTGCAGCCGCGCCCGCACCACGCGCAGTGTGCTCCACCACGACCGCGTTGCCGTGCTCGCACTGCCACGACGTGCTCCACCTGCCCGGCCGAGCCAAGGCCGGTGCTGGTGGCACCGGTGGTGCTCAGTGCTCGCACGTCGCCGCTGACATTAGTGCTGGTGGTGCTCGCTTTGCCTGTCGCGCGCGCCAATCGGTCGGCCGAGCCAAGCCTGGCGCTGGTGGTGATGGTGCTCGCACGCCACTGGTGGTGGTGGTGCTCGCGTGCCACCGCTCGCCGCCGGCTCCAATCCCGACAGCTGGAATCGACCGGCCATGGTCTCCTCCATGTTGCAAAACAAATGTTTCATGTGTTTCATATGTTATACAGGTATGTTGCAAAAGTATATCGGAATGTTGCATATGTTGCAATGATTGTTCACGTATGTTGCAAGCTTATTCCCAATGTTTCATCTGTTTTTTTCACATGTATGTTACAGGTGCGTTTATCTGGATGTTGTTGCAAGTGTTTTATCTGAATGTTGTGTATGTTTATAATGGTTTCAAGTGCTTTATTTTTAGTTGTTTTTGCAAGTGTTTCGGACGCATATTTTAAGTGTTTCATCTGTCTTCAGACGTATGTGTGCAAGTGTTACATGTAGATATTTCAAAGGTAGATTAGGTATTGCATCTTTCTCCTCGTCTTCTGCTGCCTCGCCTCGGTGTCTTCTCGTCCCGGCGTCGGTTGGGCATCCGATACGACGCCTATGTCGTCCCTCCCCTTCTTCTCAATGTTGGTGATGTTCTGGCGGCACGGGCCCCCACATGGGGCACGTCAAACGGAGTGCAAGCACGGGCTTCTGGACGCAGGCGTCCGTTTGGACGTCCGGACACTGGTACTACCGTTTCTATATATTGTGTTAGTTTTGTACCAATTCTAACATTTCTAGCTTTAACCATAACTTTAAAAAGTCAGTGTAGGTTACCAACATAAGATTTGGCCTTAAAAAACAAGATAAGCTTTATATTTTTAGATTTACTATGAAAAATATTATGATACTATGTACTCCCTCCATCTCAAATTATAAGTCATTCCAAGAATCTTGAGAGTCAAAACATCTCAAGTTTAATCAAATTTATATGATAAGATAATAACATTTATGATATCAACTAAGTATCATTAGGCTCTTCATTAATTATACTTTCATAGTATATTTATTTGATGTCATAAATCTTTGATTTTGGTCAAACTTGAGATGCTTTGACCCTCCAAGATTCTTGGAATGACTTATAATTTAGGATGGAAGGAGTAATTTACATATTCTAAAAGTATATACTCCCTCCGTCTCAAATTATAAGTCGTTCTAACTTTTTTGGAGAGTCAAATCATCTTAACTTTGACCAAAATTATAGAGAATTACAAAGACTTATGACATCAAATAAGTATATTATGAAAACATAATTAATAAAGAATCTAATAACACTTATTTGATATCATAAATGTTATTATTTTATTATATAAATTTAGTTAAGCTTGAGATGCTTTAGCTCTCAAGAAAGTTAAAATAAAATAACTTATCATTTAGGACGGATGGAGTAGATTTTTTTAAACTGACAGTTAAACTTAGAAATACTTATTTGACGACATGTGTAAAATAACGGAAGGAATATTTGAGGTGTTTACCTGCAATGGCTGTTTGTTGGTGCGCGGTGCGGTTGTGTCAGCCACCTGAAGCGACTATTGTCCCTTTCAATTCCCCTTCGTACCTGAGCCTGGGGTAGCCGGTCCACCCGAAATTCCCAAACCCGTCGCCGCACGGAAATGGAAATCGAGAGGCCGCCGCAGCCGCCGCCTGTCGCCGCTGCTGTGGCTGCGGCGGCAGCCATTTCCATGGTGCTCGGCGACGACGACCTCCTGCGCGAGATCCTCGTACGCCTCGGCCTCCCCACCAGCCTCCTCCGTGCCGCTCTCGTCTGCCGGCGCTGGCTCCGCCACGCCTCCGACCCGGCCTTTCTCCGCCGATTCCGTGACCTCCACCCGCCCCGTCTCCTCGGCGCCTACCTCTCCACCTCGGCGGGCCCCGCCCCGCGCCTGCGGTTCCTCCCGATCCGTCCGGTCCCGGAGCTCGCCGCTGCCGCCCGCCGCGCCGGCTCCTTCTTCGACGCCTTCAAGGGATCCTCGGCTGCCGTCTACGATAGCCGCGGTGGCCGCCTCCTCGTCACCACCTTCGACGACCGCCACGACTCCACGCACCAGGTCTGCCGCCCGCTGTCCCCGGGCGGGGACACCACCGTGGTTCCGCCACCCCCGCCACCGCCGCCGATCCAGCTCAACAACGACGAGGAGTGCCTCATCTACCACTACGGTGAGTTCCTTCGCGACGATGGCGACGGCCGCTCCTACTTCTGCGTGGTGATGGGGTTTAGCGAGCTGCAGACCACCGTGTACTTGTACGAGTTGCACGACATCAACTGGGTTGTCAAAGCCTCGGCAGCCGCGCAGCTCGCTTTATTGCCACCCAAATCAAGGGTTATGCTCTTCGATAGCGCCAACTTCTATATGTTGTCCACAACCAACAGGATCCTTGTGTGTGATTTTCCATCCTCAAGTATCTCAGTCATGGAGCTCCCCAATGGGGTGGAGAACAAGCCCGGTGGTTGCATCATGCTTTCCAGGGGAGGTAGTTCTGGAATCTTTCTGATCTATGTTAAAGAGTCTCAGCTTCTCATCTTCCACCACAGGATGGGCGCCAATGATCCAGGCAGCTGGTCCCTAGTGGATTCTGTTTCTTTGCGTCAGGTGTGCGCTAATCTGGATACGGCAAGGTGGCCATCTGTGGATGGACCTAGTGCTGGTGTTAAATTATGTGCTGTTGGGGACAACGCGGAGTTTGTGCTCTTGGAGATATTTGGTACTATTGTATTCTTGGATATTACAAGCAGGCAAGCAGAGAAGGTGTATGAGCTGACACCAGAGGATAAAGAGTTGGTCAGTGTCCGTCCCCTGATGTTGATATGGCCTCCTGTTTTCCCTCAGTTGAAGGATGCATATTATGACCAAAAGGAGCGATGCGAGGTTTGCTTCTTTGTTCTTTATGTACTATTGGTGTCTCTTATCCAGTTCATGATGTTTTGCATTGTGTTTTGTGTTAGTTCCTTCTCTCTTTTTTTATGATTTTTGCTGATGTGCATAGTTTGCTTGACTGCTATATTATCTAGCTTACAATGTGTATATCGTCGACTGTGGCAGAGGTTTGGATCAATGCCACACAATAGGTCAGGTGCAGAAAAAAAAAATGGCATGGCTTCATTGTTAGTGATTAAAAAACCATGGTAGTGTATAACCATGCAATGGTGTAGTGTAGGTGGAGGCAAAATTCGTAATGTGGTTTCATCGTTAGTCTAGTTGTTGATGCTGACACAAATGTGTTGGTTGTTGGAGCATTTGATGGTGTTTTGTGTTCTTAGAGGAAGTTGTGCCTGGAGTGTTAAAGACTGTACTTTCCTGTTTTCGTTTTAATATGATATTTTACCCGAGTTAGCCTTATAGTTTTAGGTGTTGTTTCATGTGGATGACCTTATCGATCTGGAGGAAATATGTCGGTACTCCGGAGGCTAGGCTGGAGCAGCAGTCGTGTATCCTTGTCCACTACTTGTGTGGCAGGCCCAGATTAGGTTCGTGGCTAGGCCGTGTGCGTGTGAGGCTTTGGCCTCAGATATATGTGTGCCTGAGTCCGTTCAGGAGAGCAGACAAGTTTTGTAACCAATTACCTTCTTCTTCAGAAATTTAATCTTCTCTTGCCTAGCTATGTCTCTTCTGAATCCCTTGCTGTCCTTCTCGATTCCCTCTAGGTTGTTAACAAAATGCATCAGCTGACTTGATTGACAGATACCCAGATGGAAATGGCAGTTTGTCCAACATTTTAGATCGCTCACATCCAATTTTTGTACATTTTTAGACCAGAAATGATTAGCACTGTTTTTCAGTATTGTTTTTGGGTTTCAGTTGATGTAAAAGTCAAGAATATTAGAATATTAGATCGCTTACTAAGATCAGCAATTAGAAAGGCGGGCCTGGTGCAAGCGGTAGAGTCTTACCGCCTGTGACCGGAAGGTCCCGGGTTCGAGTCGCGGTCTCCTCGTATTGCACAGGCGAGGGTAAGGCTTGCCACTGACACCCTTCCCCAGACCCTGCACAGAGCGGAAGCTCTCTGCACTGGGTACGCCTTTTTTACTAAGATCAGCAATTGTTTCATTCAGCGCACTCCTTATGTACTATTTTTTTTTTTGCCCCTGTGGCAGGCTCAAAGTACAGCTTGAGAGCAACCAGATCAGTATCGAATTCAAAAGCTCAACCTGCAACCAGATCAGTATCGAATTCCAAAGCTCAACCTGCAGACCAAAAGATGAGAAGCATAACAAGATCACTGAAGGACCAGCTTCATGACGAGCACACCATGTTCCGAGGTGTAGTAAAAATGAGAGAATAAAGGGTGGCTAGTTCATGTAAATAACAACTTTGAATAAATAATAGGTGTTATATTACTTGTTTAGATCAGATCATTGATGTAAATGATGATTTATCTAATCCCGATGTCACTTTCTGATTATTGCCCTCCCCGTCGCCGCCCCCCCGTGAGCGGCTCGTGCTCCTCCCCCCCCACCCCCCCACCCCCACCCAAACCCTATCAGCCCCTCCCCACGCCGCCGCCGAGAGTAGGGTCACGGCATGGCCACCCGGTGGGGGGATGGCAGTGGTGGGCTTTTTCTTTTCTTGGCGCGCGTGCGGAAGAGTCGATGCCCCTCCTCATGCGTGAGTGCGTGGAGCTCTGTGGGGCGGGCTGTCTGGCTATGGCGGCGCTTGGTGGTGCCGTCTTTGGGCGCAGGGACGGCGAAGCTCTCTCTTCTCCTCTCGCGTTCCCTCCTCTCTTGACAACGACGGGCGCGATCTTTGGGGGCCGTCGGTCCGGGCCACGGAGGTCGATCCGGTGCCTGGAGGCCGAATCTGGACTGTGTGGACAGATTAGGCTTCAGGGGCGCGGCAAGGGCGGTGCTCGCGGTTGTGGTCAAGACGAGAGGCGGGCGGCGGCATGGGGCGCGCGGGTTCGGGCTGGTGTCCGGATCCCGCGGTCCCGAGGCGGGGCGGCGCCGAGATGGTGGGCACACGCCAGAATGGCGGCTAGCGGCAAGGTCGGCTGCGACATCGGTGGGTGCCTGGGGCGACGAAGATGGTCAGTGACGGCCTCGTCGTGCGGCACTGGGACGCGAGCGACGGAGCCAGGTCCGGCTATGCGTGGCCCGGACGGAGGGGGTGACGGCCGACGCAGCTGTGCGGCTGCTGCGTGCAGCCGGCGCGTCGATGCCCCTCTGAAGGGGCTTCCGTGGGGCGGCGGGACAGCGACGATGGCGGTGAAGGCTGGCGGGGGGTCCGGCTTCGCGACCCGGCGTTCGTGCTTGAGGGTTCTTGGGCGAAAGCCTTGGCGACGGCGACGCCATTGGGCACCGCTTCCCTGTTGGGGGCGTCGTGTTTCCCCTCTAGCATGTCATCCAACGGTGAAAACCCGGTCCACTTTGGACGTGCGACGGTGGCGCCATCGACGTCGCTCCCTTCCTGAAGGCATCGCATCTGGATTATCACCGCGGCCTCGATGCGAGGCATGGGTTCGCCACTGGAAATCGGAGCTGCTCTTCGTTGGTTGAGCTTGGCAACGATGACCGGTGGCGGTCGTTCCGTTGGACCCGTCGGGAGGTGGGTGGGTGGCCTGCCATGGGAAGTCCAAGCTGCTGGCAACTTTGCTTCCATGCTCAGCAACGATGATCCATGGCAATGTGTCGTGTTTGTGCTCAATCGCGTCGCGTGGAGTGGTTAGCCCCTCGGGTGTCATTTTGGCTACTCGGTTGGCTAACCTTCTTGTACATTATTACATTCTTTCGTTTTAATTGAACGGCAGAGCTCCTGCCTTTTATTTCAAAAAAACTTTCTGATTATTGGTACATCACGCTTTGCTTTATAATTCATATTAAATCTTCTTAGATCGTCAAGTGTGCAGTCAATATACTACAATGATAAAAAAAAATCGCTAAGGGCATGTTTGGTTCCCATGGAATGGTGCCCTGGAATAATTCCTGGCCGGATTTTTTGGTGAGAGTTGTCTCACTAAGTCACCAGGTCGCGGATTCGAAGCAGCCTCTCCGCAGATTTTATTTTTTCCCTTCCCCAGACCCCACTCATGTGGGAGCCTCCGGCACTGGGTCTGCTATTCTTTCTCTAATTTGTATAATCTTTGATGAGCTGGATTGATTCCTAGTTGAAATCCTGCTAACCGAACAAGCCCTAAAGTGATAGGCGCGGTAGGCCCTGCCTAGTTCCTAGGCCGGTATTTATGCTTTCTATGGACAATTAGAGTAATGGAATGGAATGCTAAATAAAGGAAATCTAGCATATTATAGAACAAAAAAATAATATTATCATGCACAATTCATTTTTTCTCCATCTATAATTTTGTCCTATTTTCATACATACGTAAGTTAAAAACATATCTACGTGGAAAAAAAGCCTAGATAAAATGTCTAGGTGCTAGCTCTGGTGCTGTCTTTTTAAATAAAATTTTCATCCATTTTTTGTAATGCTTAGATGCACGAATTTTTTAATATCCTTTCAATGCTTACATGCACGTCATTGTTAACAGTACAGTCAAATATTTTTTATTTTCTTTTCGAAATCTAATTGCGCTATGTAGCTAGAAGAATTAAAACTAGAACGTAAACTTGCAACTGATGAACCCAATGATTTTTGCAAGCAAAAAACTATTAGTGCAAAAGGTAGCATGATGATCTATTATGATTTCTTCGGTAAGCAATCTTCTAACAGATAGAAATCAAATTATCAAGCCCTTATTCACGCAGAAGTTCCAAATTTAAACACGTGCTTATGGGAGTTAAAAGTTTCCTTAAAAAAATTATGTACCTCCGTAGGACAGTAGTGCTCACTAAAGATAACCTAGATAAGCATAATGGGTGGAAACAGAACTTGCTGCTTTTGTATAAAAAAAGAGACAATTAGGCACTTGGTTTCTTATTGTCGTTTTGCCTGATAAATTTGGTTAATAATTCAGGTGACTTCAGGTGTCGATAACAAAAAAAATATGTCACACATATTTGGGACATGGCAAAGAGGGAGTTCAAACCTTTATTGCTGTTAGGAGCAGCCATTACTTATTGGTCACTTTAGTTATGTAGGAATGATCATGTTTTTGAAAAGAAAATCTTCTCAACTCCTTTATAGGTTATATTTTTGATTGCTCACTAACTTTATATATGGCTATCCCCTAGAAGCCAGGCTCACATGATTGAGTTGTGACGGCTTCGGGGTGTTTGGTACCCGAGCTAAGGATATATTCTACTGGGTACATGAGTGACGTTCTACTCTTTGGATTGATAGTCACTAATACGTGTGTGGTTCTTCTTTTGTTGGTTGTGTGTCTCTTGTGTAAGTCAAAAGTTAGAAGAATTATTTTCCAAACTTTGTACCAAGTTGTTGATAGTTCTGTCATGCCAATAATCTAATGACCACAATTTAATAGGAGTATTACTCCTACAAGCTACCATAATACCATTCAACACTCCTACCCTTCAGTCATTCATAGACCATTTGGCAGGGCTCCGCGAGCTGCTCCGGCTCTAGCTCTGCCTGAAGCCCTGCTAAACGGGTAAACGGAAGAACAGCTCCGCCGGTGAAGCCCAAAAGAGCCGGTGTCTTTTTTCTACTCCGCCAACGAAGCCACAAAAACGAGCTTCTCTTGGCACCTCCTTCGTCAGGGCGCGAAAGGATGCGGTTGTCCTCCATCACTGGTTCAAGCGCATCATAGTGATGCTGCCCCATTTCCTGCGTGCTTGTTGTAAGTAAAGAAAGAGGAGGATTTGCTACCAAGAATAGGAGAAAAGATAGGGTCCCAATGCCAGGGTTCCAATGCAAAAACAACTTGCTGCATTGGGAATCTATCTTCTCTTCTATTCTTGGTAGCAGTGCCTGTTGTAACTAAAGAAAGAGGAGGATCTGTACCAAGAATAGGAGAAAAAATAGGTTCCCAATGCAAAAGCAATGGTTAGCTTCTCCTAAAATTGATCAAATCGCCTTGTACTTGTAAAATACGTAATAAATCACATAAGTATAAAAAAAATGTAAAACCAATTTTTTAAGGTTGGATTCAACTAGATCTACACCGAATAAAAATAATAAGTGAGGTATTATAGACATTTACCATCTTCCATCTATTCCAGAAAACATGAGTCATTTTGCCAAACATTTTCTTTTCAGAATGGCTTCAACTCCTTCAGAGGAGCCACTTCTTCACACGAGCCAAAGGGAGCTATTTTTTGAGAAGCCAAGCCCTACTAATGCTCCCTGTAGGGCGTCTGTCCGTCCGGATGCCTCGCTCAACTCACTCCCGCCCGCGTCGCTCGCTCACTCCCACGCCACGCGCCATCGCCCTGCCCACGCCGCGCCTAACCGCCACGGGTCTCCATCTGCCCACGTCCTCTGCTCCTGCTCGCTTGGATATGATGCCTCAACCTCGCCGCACTTGTTCCGCCCACCATAGCTGCTCCATCCGTCTGCACCACATTGGGGCGCATCCATCCGTCTCCACCGCGTCAGGTGCCACCATCCGCTGTCGCGCCCATCTCCACCGCGTCAGTTTTGCCGCGCCGCCCACATCTGAAAACGTGTGTTGCGAACATATGTTTCAGGTGTTTTAGATGTATGTATGTTACAAGTGTTTCGTATGGATGTTGCAAAGGTAGATCCAGATGTTGCACATGCTAAAATGACTATACACGTACGTTGCAAGAGCTTGTTCGAAATGTTTTATCTGTTTGAGACATATGTTATAATTGTTATATCTGGATATTACATATATGTTGCAATGACTATGTTACAAGTGCATGTTTTAAATGTTTCAGATGTATGTTGCAATTGTTTTATCTATGTGTTACAAAGGTAGATCTAGATGTAGGGTTGTCGAGCCTGAAAAAGAGCTAGCGCAGGATCCATGATGGCGTCGACACGTAAGCTGGCAGCAACGCTCTAGCGGAGGACGCGTAGGGTCACATTCGCGCTGGCGTTCACGGTCGTGGATTGGGTCCTCATCGTGTGCTGCTCAACAGCCTGCTGGCCTACACCATCGCTATGTTCGCGGTCTACTTCGGGCACGACCAAAGGGAACTTCATCGGGGATGGACGCCGCGTCCGGAGGAAGATGAAGATGGTGCCCTCGCTGCGTCGGGCATAGACATGGAAGCTGCGTCCGGATGGACTGGGA